GCTAGTGGCGGGGCGGCAAGGCCATGTTGTTCAGTTGGAAGCCTAAGCCAAGAAGGTACGAACAATCGAGGAGCAATTAAGACTCTGATTCACAAAATGCCCTAGAGTAGCAACATGGCACTCTTCAAAAAAGATTTATACTCTTATATTAGTAGGTAGACCTTGAATAAATTATGAAGTAGACATAGTAAAAGCAAAAAGACACCACTCCTTGGAGGCATGCAACTACGTGTACCTGCTACTCTAGCAACCAGCATTGCAGAAACCGTAGAAAATGGATCGCCTATTCACAACCAAAAAAACTTCTTAAAGTGTCAGAAAGTAAAATATATTACTCCATAAAAAGGGAAATGGGACGCGGAAGAACTGAGAACATCAAAATCTGTCATTCTTTTGAACAGTGGCAGACCAATGCAAATGATGATAACTGAAAAAAATAAGGAAACAAAGCGATTCATGGGACTGTATAAGCATATCTTAGGCTCAGGAGCATAATACAACTGAAAAAGTCTACTTTTGGGTTGTACTTTTGTATCCTAAGTTTCGTTTGAATCTTAGGATGCTTGATCTACTAAATTAATTACTTGGTCCAAAAAGGAAGTAGAAATGGCGGAAGAGATAAATTTTATGCCAAAAAGGAAAAGGACAATGGTCGAGTGAAGATATTCAACTATATCTCAAGCAAAAAAATGAATCTTGATGGCTATATTTCCTAACATAACATGATAGCTTAAACTAAACTTGCAACTGAGGATTTCAAAGTCAGAAAGTATACCTGCTTGCTGTCTTTCGGAATAACTTTCCTTCTTTCCAGGCAAGCTTATTTATTGTACTTTTGCTTCACGGGCATGTTTGTGACATTACAACTACATCCAGAGCCAATGGTATAGCACATAGCTAATGGACATGTAGTTTCACTAATATTGTTGTTCCACACACCATATAAAGATCCTGTACTTATCAAAATAATTATTATCATTATCAGCAAAACAAATTATTTTGAAAACACAGTCTTGTGCTAAACTACAATAGGTCAAACAAGAAATTAGTATTAAAGTCTCTTACAAGAGTGTGCTCCCTAATCCTGAAAGGGATCGCCTCCTACATTTAAAAATTCGTTTACAATATTAATCTTGTAGAAAAAATTTAATCATATCAAGTTCCTCTTAGCCAAAACGATCAGAGACATAAGGCATTTATATACTACTACCTCTAATCCAGTTTAAATGTCTATTAAGGTTATGGCACACCCATTAAGAAAACCATTTAATAACAATAATTATAAGGGTTATTTGACAATGTTACCCTTTATATCTCTTCAAGTTACCCTTTATCGCTCCTCAGACTTTTTATGTCAATATTATTAGAGCAAGGCTAGATTTGGAAAAAAATAATTAATGTCTTCTTGGTGTCCT